ACCAAATTCTTGTTTGCATAGTTTGCATATATTATATCCATCATTTTCGATTGATGAAAGGTAATCTCTGACAGGTGCTTGGTTATTTGTGGATGCGATATTTTTTTTTTTTTTTTGTGTATTTTTTTTTACATTGTTTGGGAACAAGGATGCAATTTCATTGCTAGTAGCAGTTTCTTCACTAGAGGTTTCTTTATCTACAAATTCAAATTCGAATTGATTTGTTTCAAATTCAAATTGATTTATTTCAAATTCAAATTGATTTGTTTCAGTAAAAAATTCAAATTTATTTGTTGCTATAATTTTTTTTTTACTTTTTTTTTTTTGTAGAAGGTTTTTAAATAAAATTTAAACACATTACTTGTTAAGATATATGGCTTTTGTTTGCCAAGAATGGCATACCAGTTTTTTTATTTCACACATTATTATACTGGGAAAGACATACTGTCTTTGTTACTACACTACACTAGGGAAGGCATATTTGCCTTTATAACTACACTAGAAAAGGCATATTGCCTTTGTTATTACATGCTTTATTATTACACTGGGGAAGGCATATTCGTCTTTATAATTACACTGAGAAAGGTATTACTACACTAGAGAAGGCATTTCGTCTCTATTATATTATTATATTAGGAAGGTATATCGTCTTTATAACTACATTGGAAAAGATATATCACCTCTATTACTACACTAGGAAAGGCTATTGCCTTTGTTATTGAAAATTCAACTTGATAAATATTAGATTTCTAGCTTTTATATTAAAAAATAGGATAATTTATTTTGAAACAGAAACATTGTTATTACTTAAAAAATGATTTATTTACTAATTAAAATTTCTTTCATACAAGCTGATAAGATAAAAGTAGTCAATATGTGTAAGTTACACTTCTTTTGTTATTAAATACAAAATAAATTAACTTTTATAAGCTTAACTTATCTATTATTTTATTCTTAATGTGGAGATGAACAATTTTGTCATTAGCGAGGAATATATAAAGCATACCCCACCTTCGAAGCTATTTAAAATTTCTCAAATCATAACAAAGTTAGTCAAAAGCATTAACAAACTGAGTTAGTTAGAAGCATGAGTATGCTTCTCTTATTATTAAATACTTAGTGATTTAACTTCTATAACGTAAATTTGCTTACCTATAGTTATTTAAATCCAGAAATGGTTTTCTTACTGCCTTAAACATGCTACTTTTCTGTTAAAAAGTGCTTAAAATCATACCTTTTATTATCAAATACACAAACCAAAGGCCATAAACTATCCAAAATCAAGACATATACCTTAAAAATATTCTTTACCAGTGGCACAAGACCAAAGGCAGAGGGTTGTTCTAATGATGTCTAATGCAGATTCTAGAACTTTTAAAGGGACTAGGTTTTAGAATTTTTGAAAGAACTAGGTTATAGAATTAATCTGGGATTTGAGTCTTATATAGCTTTCATGTGATTTAAAGATCGAGTTCTTACCGATCCTTGAAAGAATTGGTAAAGACCGATTAGGATTCAATCCCAAAGAACCGATTAATATCTCTAATATTAATAAAGCTAGCCTTAGTGGCCGATTTTGCATATATAATCATATTAACTTTTATGTATATATTTTGTGAATTTATTTTATTGCATTGATATCTGTCTTTTAACTCATATATGATCAAGAATTTTTCTTTGTAAAAGTGATCAGTATGACAAATTGTCATACACTAGTATTTTTTTGTGTATTGTATATATGCAATCAAGAATTTTTCTGGAATAGTTTTCTTGGCAAAAGTGATCTGCATTCTAAACTGGAATGGAAATTCTAATTAAAAATTAAATAAACCTGCTTTATATAAAAAGTTACTAAAATGCAATCTAAGTTTGCTTTATTGAAACAACAGGTCATTGATCTTGAGGCTGAGAATGCGAAGCTAAAACAGATTATGCTAAACATGAAGCTGAGAATATTAACCTTAAGGTGGAGCTAGAAAAAAATAAAAAAGATATCTCCTATCTCTTAGCTGAAAATTTTGAGCTTAAAATCAAAGTAGCAAAATTAAGCTGTAATTTTGAGAAAATAAAATCAAAAGGAATTATCACTAGTTCTCTAGAGCAATTGCTAATTTCTGAGAAAAAGACAGTAAGTGTTTCTACCGAAATAGAAAATTCTAATGTCACTCCCGAACAAATAGACTTACAAACTGGAGGTGTTTCAATATCAGATATATTCGATAATACTTCAAAATCTGATGATATTTCCACAAAAGTAATTTTGCTACTTAATAGGAGTCAACCTGATAAGGAGAAAGCTATTACTCCCGACCCTATGCCTAAAATAGAACATAGTTCAACCCAGATTCAAAAAGCTGAATCATCTACAACCTTTTTGCCACAAAATATTATTGATATCAATATAGCCAAAACCTTTGATTTTGTAGAAATGAAACATAAAGAACGTGTTAGTAAAGAGATAATGCAGAAAATTAGAGAAAAGAAACTTCAAGATTAAAACTTATCTTTGGATAGTACTTTAGCGGAACCATTCTATAAAAATCAAAATCTGGAATTATCTATAATATTGCAATCTATCTCTAATAGTTCTGAGTTATCTTTAGATAATAATTCATCAAATCAATCTAATTCATCATGTGGTTTTGAGTTCAAATTGCCTACTAATCTATTGCCTAATTAGAAAAATCTTTATAATCAAAAAGTAGAACGAGGTTTAAAACTCGAGCTATTTATTTGCACCAAAAATAATAACTACAAGATTAGTAAAGTATTTGATATTCAGATTTCTGAATTCTCTTTAGAAGCAATTTTATCAGGATCTAGTAATGTTACATCACAAAATATAGTTGGTCTATTTAGGGTAGCAATGAAGATTCGACAAAAAGAAAGTTTGTGCTAGTATTGTTATTACAAAGTATACAAAAACTGAGTTAATGATGTTAAAACTGCAAATAATATTGATAACCAATTGGC